TCCCTGCCCTCCCGGTAATTACGATCGTTGTCCGGCGTTAATTATCGATCCCTCCGCTCCGTGTTAATTGGCTTCGGATTCAATTAGCGCTGCCCCCCCGGCCCCCAAAATCGATCCGCGGGCGCGGGGACAGCGGGGACAGCCCGGGGGGGCACCCCCAGGGTCCCCACGGGGTTGGGGTGAGCCCGGGGTCGGGGTGACCGTGGATTTGGGGTGCGGGGGGAGCGCAGCACCCACCGTGGGGTTGGGGGTGGGCGCAGCACCCACCGTGGGAGGTGGGCCCCCCAAACATCGGGGTGCAGGTGGCAGTGGGGATCCCGCAGGGCTCTTCTGGGGGAGCTGCTGCCCCCCCCCTCAGCCGGGTCAGTTTGGGGGGGCTGGGGTCAGGGGTGGGGTCCGGGCTGGGGTCAGGGGTGGGGTCCAGGGCTGGCACTGGGGGTTCAGGGTCGGGGGACACATTGGGAATCTGGGGTTGGGGTTCTCATTTGGGGTCCACGATTGGGACCCAGAGTTGAGGTTCAAGGTCAGGACCCACTTTTGGGACCCAAGTTTGGGGTCTGGGTTTGGGTCCCAGGGTCTGTGGGTGGGACCCAGGGTTGGGGGTCGATGTCAGGGGCCATTCTGGGGACCCAGTGTGGGGATCCAAGATTGGGGCCGGGTTTGGGGCCCAACTTTGGATCCCAGGGCTGGAGGTCGATGGGTGGGACCTGCAGGTGCCCCGGGTTGGGGTCCAGGTTTGGGGTCCCCACTTGGCTCCCGGGGCTGTCGGAGGGGTTTGGCCCAGACTCTGCCCCGTGGCTGCTGCCCTCGGGTGCCCCCCAACCCCCCCATCGCCCTTCCCACCCCCCAGCTCTCAGGATGGGGTCAGGGGTCCCAGGGCTGCACCCCCGTGGAGAAACAACCCCCCCACCCCGGTGCTCGGGGTCCCAGCCTCCGTCCCTGGGCGGGGGGGTGACCCACGGTCGGGGGGCGTGACCCCAGCACAGAGGGGACCCCAAAACACGACGCTTCACTACGTTTATTGGGCCTCTGCAGCTTTAAATACAGGCCAGGGGTGGGGGGGCCGCGGGGGGGCCA